TCTTTTTGCCAAATATGACAAGTATCACACCTAAAGTTTAACCATCTACTTCTTTCTTTCTCAACATCCACCTTTGTTACTTCCACCATGGATGCCTTAAGAGCCTCTAATTCCCTTTCAGAATCAGAGATCTTTTTCTCCAAGTGAGTGAAAATTTGTTTGTTTAAGGCCAAACGTTTAAAGGCTTCCTTAGCATGTGTAAGGTGTCAAAGGCACGTTGTAATTCAAAATGAGACAATTTATTAGAGTTTTCGTATTTAGCATGTCGTACCTTTTTATTCCTCTTCTTTTGATAAGCCGAGAGACAAAGGTTGACAGACTCTTCTTCGTCACTTGAGTTATCATCCACGGATGACTCACTATCACTTTCCCAAGAGATGTAAGCTCTTTTAGACTTACCTTGTTTCATTTGTAAGCAATTACTTTCCTTTCCTTTGTCCTTCTTTATCAATGAACAATCCGACTTACAGTGCCCGACTTTTCCACAATTGAAACATGATCCTCTTGCTTTACTACCCTTATTGACTTCATTCTTGAAAGACCTTGATTGTCTTCTAAAATTGACGAGATTATTTTTGGAATGTTGGATACCATTCTTCTTTACATAGCGATTGTATCGCTTCACGAACAACCTCATATCCTCATTCGTTTCTTTATCATCATCATCACTCGAGTCATAATCACTTATCTCTTTTGCGGAGGACTTTGAACAAGAAGCTTTTAGAGCTATAGACTTTTCCCCCCGTAGTTTTGGTCTTTTCTTTATTTTCCTTTTTCTCAAATTGATAAAGGCTAAGAAGCACTTGCTCATGTTCTTGGACTTTTAAAAAAGAGTTGTAAGGTCCAAATTCATAAGATCATTTGCTTCCTTTATGGTCGTGACCTTTGGTTGCCACTCCCTAGTAAGACATATTAAGACTTTGTTAGTAGCAACGTCATTGGAAATTGGTCTACCAAGTGAATTTAATCTATTGATTAAGTGAGAAAATCTCTTTTGCATGTTGGCAATGGTTTCCCCTTGCTCCATGTGAAAGAGATTAAACTCTCGAGTTAAAGTGTTGATTCGAGCTAGTTTGACGTCATTAGTTCCCTCATGGGAAACTTGGAATGAGTCTCATATAGCTGTAGCAGTCATACAATGTGAAACTCTCTAATATTCATCAACTCCCAAGGAGGAGATCAGAATATTTCTAGCCTTCCAATTGTAGTTGTATTTTTTCTCATCCTCATCATTCGATTGTGCTTCAGGATTAGGCACAACAACATTATTTTCATCGGTCATGGTAATTTCCATATAACCATTCAATATAACGTTCCATACCTTTCTATCAATGGAATTGATATGCACGCGCATACAATCCTTCCAGTAATTATAGTTCTCACCGTTAAAAACAGGTGCTCTATTGTAAGCCCTTTTTGGTTCGTTTTCCATATTCTAAGAAGTTATATGCGGAGCACGAAATTGACTGGTGCTCTTGATACCACTTGTTAGACGACAATGATCTAGAAGGGGGGTTGAATATATCACTTATCCTTAAACAGAGTCGGAACTTATAATAAATTAGTTTTTAAAACCTTAAAGAGGAAGTGGTCGAGGAACTACAATCGTCTAAATGAACTGTTACCAAAAGGATCGGATATACGCTACACATATATGGAATACCGATAAAGATGAGAAATCAAATCAAAAGTTTGAACATAAATCAATATGATTTTGTTCACTCAAAGTTGTTCAATTTCCAATGGTTGTGAAAAATAAACCAAATTGAAAAACAACTCAAAACGTTTGTATACAATCAATTTGTTGAACACTTGGTGTGCGAAGCACTCCAAGTAAAATTCACTATGTAAATGTAGTGCTAAGCATTTCTGATTACAATCAAACAGATTGTAATGAGTTTTCTAAATATGTTTCAACACTAACATAAACCAGAATTTTAGTCAACCAATTTGTTTGCGCACAAACTTAAAATTCAGAAATGAAAATAGTAAAAAGAGAGAGAGCAACACCAGTTTGTTGAGGCAGTTCCTCTGTCGTCCTCGCTCGGGGTACGTCTGCCCTCAATTCTAAAAATAGAATTGAGACCTGTATATAGAACTTGTTGCAAATTGTTTTTACAAGAGAAGCAGTAGAAATCAAACACACAATCCTAATCGTTGATGTTAAACCTATGCCTTATCTTCCCTTGATTCAAGATGAATCAAGTCCTTCGAATGTGATGAGTAAACCTCTAATTATGGCACCATCTTTGAACAATCCACTGGTCTTTAAATCGTCGCCCGACTGATTTCAAACACCCATAATTCTAACCCAAACCTTCCTTCCACAATCCTCCAGTTAACGCTACTAAATTGACAGAACCTCTCGTTCTTTAATTACCTTCGCTCGGCTGAATCTGTGAAGGAACGATTTGTGCAAAACCTCAAAAATACAAGATTCTTGGAGGATAAAACCCTAACGACTTTATTCAAGAAAAACCCACTGATTTCTCAACCCAAACCCAATACACTGATTCTATGTTTGGATGTTATCACCTCAATGATGCAGAATGCACAACAAAAAGATTATATGTATTTGTTGAGAAAATACAAGAAAGAGGATGAAGATGATGCGAGCCAAATTAATGTATATTTTCACTTTTCTTATTATTTTGTGAAGAATGAATTAAAATAATATATATGCAAAGCTTTGACCAAATAACCAACATAACAGATGCTTTGAAAGACCAACATAACATAAAACTAGTGTGAAACAAGCGAACGGTCAACCTAAAAAATAAGGGGGTCGACCTGAGCTCTCCCGAATACAGAACTATGCAGAAAATGACTCTTCGCGTTGATTAGAACAGGACCATGCGTCAATGCAAAGCAACCCAATTTTGACAAATAGAAATGCATACAATATGAGTCGACCAGAGGGTCGACGCGAGCTCTCCTGAGAGTAAATCTCAAAAATTCATTCTGCATGAGTCAATCTAAGCAAGCTTTGAGTCGACTCAAAGACTCAAAACTTGCAAAAATGCTGATTTTGATATGTCTTGTTATTTCTAAATGCTCCTAATGCATATCTAACTCAACCAACATGATCAAACTCACATAGAACATATATAGTGTTTTTTCTATATGAACTAACACTTGTTTTTGATAAATGCTTGACACGAGAAAAATAACGAATGCATATGCGACTCAATGATACCATCCAAAGTATACATTTCTAACTATATATGTTTTGACATCATTAAAACAAGTATAAAGACATTTTGCCCTCACTGGAAATGGTTTTCAGAGACTCGAAAATGGAATGAGGACGATGTTGATAAGGAACGTGTCACGTGGTTGAGGTGCTGTCATGCTTAGAATTTCACTTTCTTTGAAATCCTTACCAGAATTTTGGGAAAGTATGTTTGTGTTGATGAAAACACTTTAAAGGGTGACTGCATGGATGTTTCTAGAATTATGGTGCATACGTCTTGTGCAGTAGTTTTAAATGAAAAGTTTAAAGCGCAGATCAATGGGGGAAATTTTTAGTATTAAAATGACGGAGGATTATCATGGACCTCTTCGTATTTTGAAAAAAGCGCAGAACTTGGAAGAAGACGTTCGGAGTTCGTTGAATGAGTCGGAAAGTATATGGAGAAAACATGGTTGGGAGGAGGACGAAGTATTTCATGATGGGATCTTAGAGGGAAATAGGGATGTTAGACCTGTTGACAATTTGTTAGTGGCTAGATAGGAGTTCAAACCTACTGATGTGAGGGAAGTAACTTATTTGAAGAGAGTCAGTCATGTTGATGCTTTGGTTTTGTAAACAAAGGAGGTATCAGGGGAAATACGATTGTCTTTGACACAACGATTCAGGCAGTAAATGAGGCATCTGCGACGAAAAGATCCTCGATAGAAGTGGGCAACATACTTGTTTTTGGAAGTTTGATTGTCAGTCGTGACTTATCAACTTCTTCTAGGTTGTTGGAAGGCGTAACTGGGCCTAGTGGTTCAAAAAATAAGACAACCTTGAAAAAGGTCAAGTTGAAAAGATTGAAAGAGTTATGTGGGCTTAAGGGTCAAAAACTGGTAAAGCCCAAAAAGAGAGTGTTGGGGCTAGTTAATGATGTTGGGCCTATTTGTTTTGTGGACTCCAAAGAATATTTTTCTCAGAACTCTTACTTTGATTTACTTAATAATATAAACAAAGAATGTAATTTTATTTCTTCTTCGACTCGTAATCAGCAGTCTGAACATACGGAGAGTTCAAGTAGTTACTCAGCAGGTGCAATGCTTTGTTGTGACGCAATCTCTGACTCAGGTGTTTGTTTTTGTAACTACAAATTTTGGGATCACTTAGATTCAAATGTGGGTGAAAAAGTATGGAATGTCATCTCCAAGTTAGGGGTGGTGTTAAAGGATGATGAGAAAGATTATACAGAAAAATTGTGGAGATGGAAGCTAAGGGCAAAGCCATACTCAATGGTAAGAAGACGCTCAAGATAGGTAAATTATGATTATCAGATCCTTGAATATCCGAGGGGGAAATTGCTCAAATAGAAAGAGAATCAGCAACATTATTAGTTCAGGTAAGGCTGCTACCTTTTTTATTCAAGAATCAAAATTGAGGGAGGTTGATGATAAAAATGTGTAGAGCTTTTGGAGGGGTAAAGAAGTAGGGTGGTCTATTAATAACGTTGTAGGTTAATCTGGTGGCATAATTACTTTGTGGAATGTAGATTTGATTTCTCTTATTTACTCTTTCAAAGGAGAGGGGTTTCTTGGTATGATATTATATTGGAAGAAGGAAATATATTATGTGGTTAACATGTATTCAGACTGTAGTATAGAAGCGAAAATAATTTTGTGGAGGGAGCTGGTAAATCTAAAGAGTAAGTTGTAAGATGGTCCTTGGATCATAAAAGGTGACTTTAATGCTATTTCTGATCCAGTTGAAAGAAAGGGGATTACTTCAGTGTCGAGGAACGTTGAACTAAGAGAATTCAATGCGTAAAGACATGGATTTGGTGGACATGCCTTCTTCTGGAAATCGGTTCACATGGTATAGCGGGGATGGTAATTCTATGAGTAAGATCCATCGTTTCTTGGTGGTAGATGTTATTATTGATAGGTGGGGAGTGGTTGGTCAAACCATTGGTAAGAGATTCATTTCAGATTATTGTCTGATTTGGTTGAAGTTGTGTTCATTCGATTGGGGACGTAAACCATTTAAAACCAACGATAGTTAGTTCGCGGATAAAGGTTTTTTAAAATTTTTGGAAACAGAATGCAAGCAGATTAATGTTGAGGGAAGAAGTGATTAAATTATTAAAGAAAAATCGAAGTTGTTGAAGGGTAACCTTAAGAAGTAGAATAGGGATAAGTTTGGGTGTATAGATCTTAAGGTAGATGAACATGTGGACTTGATTAATGAGATGGATCCTAACTTGTTTTCTGTTGATGGTAATGGGGTGGAGGATATGGTGCATAAGAGATCTTTAACTTGAAAAACCATGTGGAGGAAGTTATACCTTAAAGATAACTTGTTGTGTCAAAAGGCTAGGGTGAATTGGAATCAAAACAGAGATTTCAACTCTAAATTCTATCGTAATCTTATGAAGGGGAGAAATAGAAGAAAATTCATTAGTGAAGTTGAAACGAAAAACGAGAGGGAAGATCTTGTTGTCGAAGTCAAGAAAGCGCTCTGTGATTTTTTCATTCTTCAAAACTGAATCAAGCCGGCCCGCGAACACCCCTGTATATAGATAATTTCTTAATGCACCCTAAATACTTCTTAGACACCATGCAAAATTATTAAATACCCTTAGTTTTTAGAGATCCATCTCTGAATGCACATATTTATAAATAAACATTGAAATATTCCGGAGATGCATCTCTGAAACATTTTGGAGCATAAATCGAGTCAGACTCTTCTCCTTCCTCATTTCATATTTCTTCAACCATAACTTTAAACTCTCTTAATATAGTACTCTATACCAAGTCAAATTTCACCAACAACTAGGCGTAAAATGAGGAAAGAGAAGAGTCTGGTGCGACTTATGCTGCAAAATATTTTGGAGATACAACTCTAGAATATTTTAACATTAACTTACATTTGGGTACGTCTGGAGATATATCTCCGAAAATATGGGGTGTAGCACCCTAAAATTTGCCTTTCGTTTTTTACTGTAACTGGCTTATGTTTTGTTCATTTTGCATTTTTCATATCATGACATTGGCTCTTGAGACATGGGATCAAAATGTTTCTATGGCTCAAGGTTTTCTTTTATTCCAAGTTTGCAAGCGACAAGCATCAAATGCTTCACCAGTTATTTTGTCCAGCAATCGGATACCAAATTATATTCTTCAGCAGGTTTTTTTGAGTGCACGAGACATTTCACAGTGTATTTCAGGTATTTTACAGGTGCAATATCAAAAGATAAGTTTCAGAGGTCAAACTATGCTCATAACGGATGGAAGCAGGCGATTCTCCACGTTTCCCTCTTTATGACGCCAAAATTTGAATTTTCAAAGGCGTTATTCGGTTAACCGGTTAACCAAGGCGAAATTTGCCTAAATGCTTTAATTTTCAGCACTGCAGAATTTGAATCATTTTTCTCCACTTGATTTCACATCTGCATCATTGGAAGAATCTATAATGGGTTCATTTTAATTCATTTTCATCATTTAATTCTACCAAAAATTCAAATTTCCATTCCATTTTCCATCCTAATTCCATTCCTCATTCCTATTCCTCTAACTAACCTACACTTTAAACCAAATTTAATCCCTAACCTAGGGGTTATTTAACCAAAATTACTCTAAACCTCACTCATTCACTCTCATTTTCACTTTCATTTTTCAGAATTTGCTCTGAATTCTCTCCCACTTTTTCATTCTCCATCTTCATCTTCAACCTCTCACCAAAGCTCCATATTCATAGAATCACAAATTGTGAATTACAATTTGTGAATTCTTGAGCTAAACCTCCACTACATCATCATACTTGATTCAATTATGCATTTGAAGCTTGTTTGGATCTAGATTCAAGTTTTGGAAGCCATTCCGAAGAAGTTTGGATGCAAGTTTATCACATTGCTTGGATCTTGAGGTTTCTTGCTAGGATCTTGGATTTCTTGTGTTAGATCTGTCCATTTTCGTTAGAAACGCTTACCAAAGAAATTCTCCGCTTTGTTGGTTGATAAATATCAGATCCATACTTGATCTAGCTTAATTTTAACTTATGCAATGTAGATCCATGGTTTTTTATGCGATTTGATCCATTTGCTTGAATTTGATTGTTGATGTTGATGATTGTTGAATCTAATTAATGTTTGATTGCTATAATTCAATGTAATTTTCGTGCATAATTGATTACATGTTCATTTGGATGATTGGATAATTGAGTTGCTGCTGAAAAGTGCTTTTGAATGCTGAATTTTTTATTCTGCTCTAGTGTTAATCGGCTAACCTCCTAGTGTTAACCGATTAACACAACTTTGATGCATGTTATTTGACTTGTTTTCACAGTGTTAACCGGTTAACACCAGGAGGTTAACCGATTAACACTGTTGCAGAGTGACATTTTATTACATTTTCAAGCTTGTTTGGATCCCTTTCCATCTCTAAAATTCATGGATTCATACTATGCATATTTGTGGATTTGTTTCGGAGCTATCTCACCTCACATGATAATATGTTTGAGTTTCTTCGACGCATGAAATTTGATTTTTCTTGATGCATGTCCATGATTTATTGGTGTTGCATTCTTGATGCATCCTTCATGATGTTTGCTTGTGCCTACTTGTTTGCTCATTCTTGATGCTCACTTTGCTGGATGTATGATTCGTGTTCATGTTTGTTTCCGATTCCATGATTGTGTATCCATTTCAAACGATTAATTGTTGAATTATCCTTGATGCTTTTGATGAATGCTTAAGTATGCGATGCCATTGAAACTTGTTCATGCCTATTTGTTTATGCTTAATTGTCTACACATGTGAATCAATTTCTCTTGATTGATGCTTGTTTATGTTTGCAATTCATGTGTGTTTACTTAAATGTGAAGGCATGCTTTTGATCTTTTCTTTTGATGCATGATTATGTTTGGTGTTTGAACGTGTCCATTATTGGTTGATCAATCTTAGATGCATACTTGTTATTGTGTTGTTACATGATTGTACATGATTGATGCCGATTCATGAGCATTTGTTTTGAGGCATCGCATGCTGCCTTGGCAAATACATGATTGTTGTGCAAAATAGTAGCTGTTATATGCTGTTTTGTTTGACTTGCTGTCTTTTACATCTGTTTCTGCCTGAAAACATGCGCTATTAAAAGTTGTTTTGCTCGTGTGCTGGATTTTATTATTGTTCTGAGTTGGAAGCGTTGTTGTAGTTGTTGTTTTTATTTTGTTTTCTTTGTTTTGGCTTGTTCTTGCATGCTCCCTTAAGGCCTCATAGTCCAACTTAATTTTTTATTAAGCTTGGTGTAGGATAGACATTAGCAGTTTAATCCATGCTTAAAAATAATAGGTTAATCCCTTTTAACCTCAATATTAGGTCCATATTTCACATGCTAACATTAGGAAAGAATTTCCTCTCGCATCCCGACCTTAGGGTCATTTTGCATGACATCATTAGGACCAAGTTTCCCCTTAGACCTTTCGTGTGTCTTTCTCATTTTATTTTTCAAAACAACGTCAAAACACGTAATAAATACGATGAACATTGTGCGCCACGAGCCTTAAGTATACGTGAAATAATGAGTGAGGGGTCTCTCCTTACTTCGTCTAAAGTGTTTAGTGTACATCGCGTCTATGGGCTTTCATGCGACGCATTCGCTCCTATATCATAGAATTTAGTGTAATGTGAATCTTAAACCAAATCAATTCACTTATCTAAAACTCACAAACAAATTCAAATCATTTTCATCCTTCGGGATCGTGTGTCAAACCATTTTTCAGAAAGAACATGTTACTTTTCCGTTCTACCGCAAACAGGCATCGACCCTAACTGCTGGAATGGGAACTTAACGTCACTCATAAAAAACACTAAGCAACTTGTGGCGAGAAACCCCCTCTTTCACCCGTAGTTTTCCAAACTACGTTGACTCTAACTTTCCCATTGCATGAGGGAATACATAGGAATAGGACGGCGAAGTCATATCGAGTCTCCTTTTTGTTTTTTCCCCTTCCATTTCCATTTAGCAATAGAGCTTTAGATTACACCCCCTTTGATTAGACAACAAGCATGGATCCCGTTGAGTACAACGGACGCGAGCGAGTGCTAATACCTTCCTCTCGCGTAATCGACTCTCGAACCCCGAATTTGGTTGCGATGACCATGTCTTCTCTCATTCTCAGGTTTTCTTCGATTGTTTCCTTTCCCTACGTCAGAATAAATAACGTTCGGTGAAGACTCTTCTGTTTTTCTGCCAGGTGTTTTTCGCAGTTGCGACAAAGAGCATTTGTGGAAATTTACATGGCGCGGTAGAAATACTTAGGGTGCCATAATGTGTATGTGTGTATGTGTGTGTGTGTGTGTGTGTGTGTGTGTGTGTGTGTGTGTGTGTATATATATATATATATATATATATATATATATATATATATATATATATATATATAATTTCATACTTTCAAAACATGTGGAAGATATATTTATGAAAAACTTGGAGAGCAATGAACTATTGCGAGTTCGATTCGATCCTTGACGCCTGAAAAAAAAACTTGAAGTGCAATATATTTATCATAACAATGTTAACTGATTTTTGCTCTTACTTTAAGTATTTTTTGACACACCCCTAAGAAATTTTTACTCAAAATAAAAAAATAACTCAGTTTTTAATTTATTTCCCAAAGTACCCCACTTTGGGGTACTGGCTGAGTGTAGGCACCATACCAATTGGAAACCCTTCACAAGGAACAAGAGTTGTCGACACGGTGTTTCCAATCCAATTGGCGGCGCAGTGTAAAATGCCAAAGGGTGTCGCCAATTCAATTGGAGACAGGCTTGAAAGTGAAATTTTATTTCTATAAATAGAGGTGTTCTGATAATTTGTTTTCACATCTCATCTTATATACTTGTATCACTGATAACATGTATCTTCGTCGCTACAAAAAAGTCATCTATTCGAGAGGGAAGCCTCTGATGGATATGTTATTTTGGAACATTCAAAGTTTCAACCAACTAAAGAGGGAGCTGAATCGGTGGTTAGACGGAGACATACCTAAAGGGGGAAAAATTAG